TTTAAAAATCTCAAAATAGCTAAATGATTTCAGATGTACACAAATATACTCCGATTACAGCTCTTAGTACTAATTCTAATTCAAGTAAAGACTGGAAAATTAAAGCCAGAATCACAAAAAAGTATGAAAAAAGAACTTGGAAAAATGCAAGAAGCTCTGGAACTCTCTTGAATATTGACTTGATAGATGGATTTGGCACGTAAATTATAGCCACATTTTTTAATGAAGTGGCCAACAAATTTGACAATATCCTGAAGGAAAATAAAGTATATACATTTGCCAATGCAGAAGTAAAGCTCTCAAATGTAAAGTATACATCTATTAAGAATGAATACTGCTTAAATTTCAATCATAATGCAGATATATAGGAGGCTGATGATGATGAGTCCATTCAGTCTTAAGCATTTAATTTTTTCAACATCAAGGAACTTTTGAATCAGTGTGGGTAAAAAACTGTTGATTTTATTGGAGTTGCTCATAGTTGCATGCCTGCTAAAGAAAAATAATTAAAGAGCGGAGTAACGAAATCTTAACGAACTGTGTATCTGGCAGATGAGAGTAATCTTACCATTGCTTTATGCATTTGGGGTGATTTCGCAAATAAATTTGACTTAGGTCCAGACGAACACCCAATAGTAGCTATAAAAAGAGCATAGCTCAGTGAATTCGGTGGGAAATCTATAAATTCAAATGAGGATTCTCAAATTATGATAAATCCTAAACATAAAAGGACAGATTAACTCTAGAGCTGGTATAGATATTTACAAGATCCTAGTGATCTTAAATGTATAACTATGTCAAAGGATAAATAGGATTTTCCTGAAGAGAAAAAAGTTGTCTAATTCGATAACTAAAGACTGATAGGGGAAATAATGGAAGCCCTTACTTGTGGTAATGAGTAAATCAAAGAATAATGCCTCAATAATTATTATTATGTCAGTGCTTATATCTGGATTCTAAAAAATGATGATAAGACTTATTACTTGGCTTGCCCTGATGAGAACTGTAAAAGAAAAGTCATTGAAGAAAGTGTTGGATGGAGATGCTAACACTGTAATAGAACATATCAAACTTGCAACCCTACATATATGCTAAGTGCTAAACTTGCTGATGCATCTGATGCTCACTTCATAAATTTTTATAAGCAAGAAGGCACTGCTTTAATGGGCTTACCAGCAGATAAGCTTAAAGATATTAAAGATTAAGGAGACATTTAAGTAATTAATGATACATTTCAGGATAGGTAATTTAGAAAATTTGGGTTGATTGTAAGGCCTAAGTAATA